CTGCTGCTTCATCTCCTCTCTCGTCAAACTGCTGCCCAAGCTCCTTCTTCTTCATCGACGAACAACACACAACCTCGTCGTCCACCCAACTCCCCATGGCTGCTGCTCCTTCATTTTCTTCATCAACGTCCAGCGACCTCACCTCTCATGGCTGCCTTCGTCGAGCTCCGTCGATCACCCTTGCTGCTTCTTCTCCTTCATCTCAACTACGTCGAGCTCCAGTCAGTCATCATGGCTGCTGCTTTACCTCTCATGGCTGCCTCCGTCGACCACCCTTGCTGTTTCTTCTTCTTCATCGTTGCTGCGTCGACCAACCACCTCCCTCACGTCCACCAGTAGCAACGTCGGTGACCCCTCACGCCGAACTCCATCTCTAGCCACCTTCACAAAACCAATAACCCACAGAAAAACACCATCGCCACCCGTCTCCACCAGCTGCTATAACAGCAGCGACGAACACACTAGACATACGACCACCACACCCAAAACACCCTAAAAGTCCACTGTTGCTGCTCAACACACATACACACAGCTTCACGTCCAAACAACTTGTTGTCTCGTCGTTTCTTCAGGTTTAATCCGTCAAGGTCGTCGTTTGTCGTTCTGAGTTCGTCGAGATTAAAAGAGAAGGTGGGTTTTCGTTGAGTCGAGATCCATTAGGTCGTTGGCAGTCTTGATCCGAGTTTTCCGTTTCCGTTCGAGTTCGTCGTTGTTCATTTCCGGTTAGTTGGTTTAAGTTTTATTTCTGTCCGTATTTTGTTTGATATTCTCGGATTTGAAATCAGTATATGTTTAATTCTTTTCTTGTTCGTTGTTTTTCATTTCTTGATTATTTCTTCAGTTTGTTTTTATTCATTTGTTTTTGTTTACTTTTAATATAGAAGTGTGTTAGTTTAATCACTTAAATCATTCATCTTCGTTGTTTGAGTTAGATTTAATTCGTGTTCATTTTTTGTTTGAAGTTCGTTTTTCATCAAGTGATTTAATGTGAGTATTTTGGTTTTTAGTTTTTGATTTAGTTTGAATCATCCATCTTTGTTGTAATGTTATTGGATTTAATTCGAGGTTCGATTGATGATCGGGTTTGGTGATTTGTATTTACTTGTTTGTTCTGCTGAGTTTGTTTGGATATGAATCTGACTGTATTGTTAATTCATGAACGTTGTCGATTAGGAGTTTGTTTGGCAAGTTTATTATGCAGAGTTTGATTATTAGTTGTCAATTATCAGGTTTGATTGGTTATAGCTGCTGTATTTTGGTTAATTGATTAGGTGAATTGGTTATAGCTGATGTGGGTAGAATGGTAAATTGCAGTATTTTCAGGGGTAGAATGGTAATTTCAGTAATTTTAGAGGGGTATTTTTGGAATTGAAAATTTGAACAATTATTTATTTTGAGTGCTCTGTCCACTAATCTAATAATATTAAAATAATACATAAAATAATACGTAGTGGGGGACAAGACATAATGGTGAGGAATTAATACATTGTTTAATATAGTGGGGGACAAAGCATGCGGTAGTGGGGAATAATGGAATTAATTAAAGAAAAGATATGGATTAGTGAGAACTAATGTATTTGTTTAATATAGTGAGGGACAAAACATTAAGTAGTGGGAAGTTAAAGGGGGATGGGTAGAAGATGGTGGGATTTTAGTTTAAATGCTTCAAGTTTGTAAATAAATAGAGGGAGAATTCCAAAAATAGAGGGGAGGGGGATTCGAATAAGAAAAAAAGAGATTGGCTGAATATTGAGGAAAAATTTGGAAGGAGATTCGAAAGAGAGAGTAGTATACACCCGATATACAATCTGCATACATTGGATATACAGAGGAGTCAGAATTTAAGGGTTAAACATTAACTGGTCTTTCAATCTAAAAAAATATTCACTTTGTGTCTGCCCGTTGATTGTTGTTGGTGTTTCTGGATTTCATTTGATTTGTTCTTTAAGTTTGGTTGGTTATTTGCTACTACTTCACTGGTTATTGCTGGATTTTTGTTTGATTTTAAAATCTGTCACTGGTTTCTCGTTGCTGGTTGTTACTGGTTGCGGGGTGTTGCTGTTGTTATATGCTACTGCATTTCTGCCGATCTTCCTCTTCTTTTACTTATAATATCAGGTACACAACTGACACGCTGGTTACTGTAAGCTGAAACATGAAGCATGAATATGAAATGAAGAGTTGAAGTTCTGAATTTATCTTAACTATATTCTGAATTTTAGTTGTATATATACATTATTTAGCTTCCTCTTATCAGAATCATGTAGTTGTTTAATATATATAATGGAACATCTGACAATAGCTTAGTGGACGAACTGTCTATGTATTGCTAATAAATAAATAAATGGTGTAGTAGCTCTGTTCAGTTAGTTCGTTATTGTTTGATGATTATCATGTCTCAAAAAACATGTTAGCTGATTTAGACTATTCTTAAACATTCAACAGTTAGCTCATTAAACGAATAGCCTGTTTCGGAACTTGTAGGAATATTGTTTAGCTAGATACTATTGGTTAATTTCAGCATGTAAATGGTTTAGGATTAAAATTAGATTGCCAAGTTTTTTTAATTTGACAAACTGTGAGCATGCCTAGTATAATGTAACTAGGTAGTAACATGTGAATGAGATGGCCCAGGTCCAGTTTTGTGCCATACACGTTGGGCCTGGGTCCACGTTGGCCAACGGGCTGTCCATATTGTGTTTACATTCTGATTTAACAAATTGCATTCGAAACTCGACTATAACAGTAAGCATGTAAATAAATTAGGACCTTTTCTCTTTCATTTTTTAGAGACAAATTTAATAGAAAATGTAGTCACTTTAGGATTGTCCTTTTAAAATAAATGAGATGAGATGAGCCTAGTAAAACGCACAGATTGCGGGACCCTCACACATATATGCATTAATTACTTAGAACTCGGGATCGGCCGCTTAGCGAACTTCACGGTCTTTTCCCAAAATAACCATGCTTTAGTCTCTTTAGGCGCGTACTTTAAGTAACATTACCTTCTTAAACCCGGGTGCACATTTATGTGACCCAAATCCAAATCTCAACAAAGTCGAAATGTGTCTCTAACCACGGGTGCATTGATGTGACGTGGTTCGAGATGTGTTTTCACGACGTTGCAATTCTCGTTGAAAAATAACAATAATAAAAGCGGTAAAAAGTTTAAATTTGCACATAGGTTCAATATGAATAAAAAATCAGATAAATAAGCCAAATATGACAGTTGAGCGACCGTGCTAGAACCACGGAACTCGGGAATGCCTAACACCTTCTCCCGGGTTAACAGAATTCCTTATCCGGATTTCTGGTTTGCGGACTGTAATACAGAGTCATTCTTTTCCTCGATTCAGGATTAAAACCGGTGACTTGGGACACCATAAATCTCCCAAGTGGCGACTCTAATTCTTAAATAATAAATCCCGTTTCGATTGTCCCGTGATTGGAAAAACTCCCTTCCGCGCCCCTTTGAGGCGGCGCGGGCCGAAAAAAGAGGTGTGACAAACCTGAAGCCTCACGGATCTCCTCTCATTTTATTAACCACTAGGCCACACTACTAGTACTTGTAATGAGCATGCAAGGTAAGGAAAGATTTAATCAAACCCAAAAAATGACAACCCAGTGCACAAGACATCTCGCGTTCATGCAAGTTCCGGGAAAGGGTTGCACCCCAAAGAGTGTGATATAGACAGCCTACCCTAATGCAAGTATTACTGGCTGTTTCCACAGCTCGAACCTATGACCTAAGTCATAAAAAACAACTTGGTCATTGCTCCAAGTATAATCAAACCCAATTCTACAAAATATCCAATAATCCAAAGGGTAGGTCAATAGGTCACTTAAGAGTTCTCCACATTGTCATTCATAGAGAGGTTGAAAATGGCAATTTCTTTCTGAAATGGAGGAGCTGGAATCTTAAGTGGAAAGCAGCACGTCCCCCATTTTAATTTATTTAATTGTGGAATAAATGAATAATCAAGCTGGCTGATCCTTTTCTTTTCTTTTATTATATATTTTCTGTTTAAAAAAAGGACAATTATATTACAGAAAAAGACAAGCAAGAATTTGTATTAAAGGACAGTAAACTTGGTCGTTTCTTCCAATAGCCAACAAATATATATACACAAAATAAACAAACATTACAGTCTTAATCAAATTAGTACCCAAGATTCGGTGAAGACACATCATGTTTGGCAGGCATGAGCTTGTAGGTAATGTTTCATTTGTCAGCTACATTTGCAATGAAAAAATTAATGTGTGCTTAATTAGAACAAAACCCTGAGATCCCGCAGTATTATTCCTAGAATGTTTCCTTGTTTCTCAGCTCACCACTCACTTCCCCTAAATGAGGTCTGTATCAAACGTAAAAGTTAAGCAAACCCAAGCAAAATATTCTGATCTGTAGTGTTACTTCCTACAGTTCCTAGGAACATGTGTGTATCTTAAGCAAACAATATGTAGCTATGAACGTCTACTCATGTGAGACAAGAATGCTCTGTTGCTCTCATATTGATCCTTAACCCGCAAATTGAAATATGTATTCTATGCTTGACTAAAAAAATGCTACCCTCCTCTATTCTAAATATTAGTCGTTTTGACAGATTGAATTTATTTAAAATATTTGACGTTTAGAAAAACAAACAGTCATTTATTATTTTTCATCTTCAAAACTACCACTATTGTTTCAATTAGTGAAATGTTTATAGAGAGATAAATGATAACTGTGCAAATACTCTTATTTTATCTGTTAAGTATCTTTCTCTAAGTAGCGGGCAAAAATGTCACAAGACGGACGGAGTAATACGGTAGACATAGCTTTTAGCTTTGAGGAAACAAATTGTAGAACAAATAGCAGTTGCTAAGTCAAGGCCATCAAAAGGAGATGGAACATGAAAATTTCAAAAAGTATCTTGAAACGCATATTGAGTTAATATCCACTTATCATTTTCTTCCGTAATTCGTCCTGTGAGAAATTTATGTTGTTCCTAGACGCAAAGAGAAGCACGTCCCAATCATAATCAAGCATTATACTGTGGGCTTGTCATTACCACTGCATAGCTCAATATGACATCTTTGCTCATACCAAAAAATGAGAATAACAAAATTTCATGTCTAACATCTCTTTCGAGTATCTTTGGAGTTTACAGTAATCATTTAGCAAATTAGATCCTTTTTCGTCTAGCCAATGTCAGCCTAATCAGATTAACAAAATCCTAGACAGCGAAATCTAGGAGAATAAGAAGGCCATCACCAACCCAGTGTCAGTACAAAAGAAGACTCACTGGCCATCTTCATCCATTCTAGCGTTTTCCAGATTCTGCTAGGGAACAGTCCTTCCGGTGAAACATGGCAAGACTGTACCTGTTACCTGTCAGTGTTAAACCACATTTCAGTGGGAAGCTTGCAAATGTGTATAAGCGAATTAATTTTACAAGAGAAACTCCACAAGGAAGGAGGATGGTATACATGGCTTTTCCACTCATAGCAGATGTTTTGAGATGGAAATGCAGATAAAAAGGAGAACCTGCATATAGCCATGCAAAAGACGGAGGCATTTAGAGCTTTCAGTCTTTCAGAGTTTACCTGGCAGTAAGTTATAACTCTTTATCATCACCAGCTTCAGCTTTTGTGGCGGCTTTCTCTGCTTCTTCTAATGCAAAAATTTTCAGCGATTCAATGTCTCTTGGTCCTACAGCAACAGATGTAAAATACAGGATTTCAGGTCAAATACAAGTTAATGGGCATGGAGTGGCGAGACCAGCTTGTCGCATTTTATGGTATTATTGTCTTAACGTCATGATAGATGCTAAAGGAGCTAAAAGGATGTTTTGATACAAGTGGGATATATGTTAACAATTGTCTTACCTATATTTACAGCTTTTTGATGAAGTAGCAGTGAGTACTTAGCTAAATATTCATTGATTGAAAGATCCTAGGTCCTTTTAGACAGCTTCAATATACATGATCTTGGGTCTACCTCATCCCTTTTCTGCACCATCAATCATCATATCGTTACACCTATGGACCGGTGCATTTAGAGGTTTATGTAAGACATGATCAAACCATCTTAAGTCGCCCTCTTTCAGTTTAAATTCTATGAGTGCTACTTGCATCATCTCACTGATGTGCTTATTTCTAACATTTTCCAATCTTGTGTGACCACATAACAATCTTAACCTCCGCAATTCTACAACACTAATCTTGTTGATATGTTGAGCCTTAGACGCCCAACTTTCTTTCCCGTATAACATTGATATTCTCACTACCTTTTTATAGATCGGCTTTCACTTTTTAAGGTAGCTTTTTATCGTATAGCACTCTTCCATTTCAACCATATTATTAAGTCTATATGTCACATCTCCATCTATCATGTTTTCTTTTTGACGACTAAGCCTACACATCCACATTGTTGTGAAATAATAGTAACATTACAAGAACTAAGCAATTAACAAAAGTTTAAAAAATAAAGAATATAAATACTAGTAAGAGCACAAAAAAGTAACTTCTTTTCTTCTTTCACATGTGTGTTCTGCCTATCTCAATTATCAGACCTTTTATAGGAAAGAAAGGTGAGAGATAGCTTGTAAGAATCACCACTGCACTGTGACAAGTATGGACATATAGCATGGGAATCCATCCATAAAATATTTACAACACTCCTCCTTGAATGGCCACGTAAAAAAGGAAAGATATGCCTTGTTAAGACCATACTAGGAAAAAACCCACTGCAAAAATATCCTAGTGAAAGAAAAGTAATACTACATAGTTATTTGTAATATATATTGCTTGTTGCTTCATTAAAACCTTACCCAAAAACCGAATGGGACAAAAGCCTTAGTTAAGGAAAAATAGTGCAGCACATATTTAACTCTCCCGGATGAAAACATCACTTATTGTCTTGAAGATGACACATTCCAATAATGTATGAGATTGACAATTCTTTAATGAACAGAACCGTCAAATTATCATTTGAACGAAGTTGTTGAACATCAATTTCACCATTCTTTTGAAGATCACGAGTAAAAAAGAATTTTAGTGAAATATGTTTTATTCTATCTCATCCTCCTTTTAGTTGAGCTATGCATGCAGCATTATTTTCATACAATGTAGTTGGAAATTCCTTTTGAAAGGAAGACCACATGTTTCCTGGATGATTGAGTTATTGATCTCAACCAAATGCATTCTCGACTTGCTTCATGAATGACTATTATCTCTGCATGATTTGAAGAAGTAGCAACCATAGTTTTGCTTTATTGAATGCCATGATATGGTTGTACCTCTACATGTAAATAAATAACTTGTTTGAGATCGATTTTTATTTGAATCAGACAAATATCTTGTATTTGCATAGCCAATCAATTGTGAGTTTATTCATTTGAATAAAACAGTCCCATATGAATGGTCCCTTAGAGGTATTTGAACATATGCTTAATACCACTCCATCGTCTTCGTGTTAGGAAGAACTAAATCTTGCTAACAAGCTTATAGAGAAAGCTATGTTTGGTAGAAAATTATTGGCAAGATACTTTAATGCACCAATTGCACTAAGATATGGTATTTCAGTACCAAACATATGGTTGCTACTTTATTAATCTTTATTCTCATATGGTTGCTCTTCATTATTCTCATAAGGTCGAAATAAATCTTTATTAATGTCAAGCAATCTCACAACCACGTGGACTCAATGGATGTGCTTTATTAAGTTGTTCGGACTCGGGTGCGGGTATCCGATACGGGGACGGATCTGAGTATCGGATTCGGCAAAATCTAAATTTTAAGATTCGGGTGGTACGGATCCAAATATGGATACGGGTGCGGGATTCGGCTAATAAAAAAATAGGGCTATAAAAATAATGTAAATTTTGAGAGATATTCTGTGAAAAACTTACATGAATATTGTAGAATTCAATCTTTCATTCTCCAAGATGGACATTATGCTTTCATTCTCCTAAATCTGTTTTATTTTTTATTTTGAGAAATCAAAATCTCAATTTTTCTCCCAGATTTGCTGATGGACTCCGATCAAAGTGTCCAAAGTTAGTTGACCGTATCCGGGACGTATCCCGCTCCCGTCCCTGTCTCGTATCGGGACGGGGACAACACCAAAATCGAAGATTCCGCGCAACTTAGGTGCTTTATCCATGTAAAATCGCTTTAAAATTTAGTATACACTGATTGGTGGACAAATATTCCATTTGTAAAATGCTCAAACCAAGATAGAATTTTGTCTTTCCAAAATCTTTCATTTCAAATTCTTTCTTCATATATTCTACAGTCTTTGGATGTTCTTCCGGAGTTCCAGTGATATTCAAGTCATCAACATATTATGACAAATTCAGATCCAGGCCTCTTAATAAAGACATAAGAGCAAATTGGGTCATTTTTGTTCTTTCAACAGATACTCGTTAAGGCTATTATACCACATGTGTCCTAATTGTTTTAATCCGTATAAGAATTTCTGAAGCTTTATTGAATGAGTTTTCCAGAAATCTTTATATGCATCAGGCACTTTGAATCCTTTAGGGATTTTCATAAAAAATTTATTGTCCGGTGAACCATATAAATAGGCGGTGACAACATCCATAAGATGCATATCAAGTTTTACATGAACGGCAAAATTTATAAAATACCCGAAAGTGATTGCATCCACCATAGGATAATATATACTCTTTTTCTTTCACTAGGATTTTTCCCAATAATTTTTTTCTAGTAAGGTCTTATGAAGAATATTAGTAGTGTTGTAAATAGTTTATGGATGGACACCCATGCTATATGTCAATCCTTGACACTGTGCAATGATGATTCTTACAAGCTATATGTCACCTTCCTTGCCTATAAAAGGCATGGTAATTGAGATAGGCAGAACATACATTTGATAGAGGAGAAGGAGTTACTCTTTTGTGCTCTTAGTCTTACTAGTATTATTTATTCTCCTTACGTTTTAAGTTTATGTTAATTCTTAGTTCTTGCAATATTACTTATATTTCACAACACGTCAGAACGAGGCTCTAATCTTCTCCAAGTAGAGTTTTGAGTTTCTACTTCAGATTAGGTATGCATTTAAAGTTTTATGAAAGAACTTTGATCATTACTTGTTTTTTTCCAGATAACTCCTTTTTCTTCTTCCAATTGTATGTTATCATTGTCAGTTATATCGCCTTTTATAGGCATGAAAAAGTAAAGAATTACTATTGTAAAATAGTGAAAGGAATGAACACCCACAACAAGCATGAGCATCCAGTCCATATTATTTACCACAACACCAATATTTTGTCTACTCTTGCTTCTTTTTTATCCCTCTTATTGGGACTAAACGTGCAGTGCGTATACACTATGTTATTTCTGTTTTTGATAATCATACTATCTTACTTCTGTTATCCTCAAAAACCGCACTATTAAATACATTTTCTCCGTAGTTCCAACATTTGATTGGCTCCATCACTAGTTCCGTTAAGTAAACTGCATCATCTGCAAATGAGATGCACCATGGAACCTCATCCTATATAGTTAGAGAACTCAGATTTAAATGCTGCGTTGCACCAGAGCAAGAAATGGCTAAAAATGCCCTCCATCCTAAATATGTTTTAGAGTTGACACAGCTTCACTATTATCCTAATAATTTCACATTGTTCAAAAATTCATTCACTGAACAAACCAAACTTAAAGCAAGATGTAATACTTATATTATCACACTAACTTTAATATTTTCTTCTACACGGACTGATTCTTTTAATAAGTAATTCTACAGGCACTGATATAATCACAGGTCAATTTAGAAAAGCAGATACAATTGGGAGTAGCAAAAGAAATCCAAATTATGCATCCTTGTAACTTAAACTTTTAAATCGACTATGAGATAGTTAAGAGATGTTTCAAAGAAAAAACTCCTACCTTGGTACTTTGCAACTTCTTCTCCATTGTAGAAGAGTTTGAATGTAGGATATGAATGGATATCAACTTTGTTACACACTGGTTTATGTGTACCACAATCAACTTGTCCCACCTCTATCTCATCCTCCCCTTCCATCGCTTTCCCTAGATCATCCCAAAGTGTTCCCAGGTTCTTACTGAAAAAAGGTCTCAGAATTAGCAAAACGAAAGAACCTTCTTAGGACAATACAGCAAAGGAAATATCAAGGACTAATTTTGTGATATATAACGAAATTTAAAAACTAAAATGAACCCAACTCAACATTATCTTACCAAATACATATTGGCTGAAGAATCATGTTTTTTCAGTTAACTAAGCCAGTCACAGACAGGTACATGCCTTGTGATGGACTAGTAAGTATGTTTTAAAGTCCTTGGACATCTACAATTATTATTCTCCAGAAAAGTATAGTACTGGCACTTGGGATTATTAGGTCTATCATCCAGTTAATTCTCTTACTAGTTGCCATATATAACCAAAAATATTAGCTAGCTACAAGTCAAAATGCCACTTATAAAAAAAAAAAAGCTACATGTGAAAATTTTAACAAAAGAAGAGTGTCAGTATGTAAAATACTAGATAGAAAACTGCTAGATTTTTCAGCATTTCATTATCATCAGTAATAAGAATAATGAAGATCTAACTAATTTGTATTTTTGATGTAATAACACTAAAGACATCGCAAAAGTTTGAGTTGACAGTTGTTCCAGAGGTACTTCACCACTCAGGTTGCTCAGCAACGGCACCGTGAAGTGTCCCTATCTCACGCTGGCCTGGATACTTTAGAATGTAAAATTATTGGTTGAATCAGCATGCTGAGATGAGTTATATATATATATATTTTTTAATTTTATTTTATTTTTTTTATGACCGAGAAATCTGTCTGGAGCCGATCCTTTGAACCAACCGCAGCCTTCAAAACTCGGTGGATAATGGGCCCGCCCCTCTAAGTCACTAATATAATTACCATCTTCTGAATTAACCCAAATAAATCTGCAAACGACCTAATCTCTTTCCCACCAAACAACCAACATCCATTGGTGCCCTTTCCTTGACCAATGGCACCACTGTTCGAACGACCTCAGCAATAGTCATTGAACAAGAAGAACAAAATAGAGAATTTAAATTCTCAATATGATCCATAAGAGTAAATAATTAGAATAAGGGATATTTCAGTGAATCACCCTCCACTTAACACTGACCCTTTCATGTGGTTCAGTGACACTTAAGCCCCCTTCCCCCAACCCTTTAACTTCATTCATATTCTGATAGGTATCTGTCATCGGAAATGGGTCACAAGAAGACCATAGAGAGAGAGTAGCCCTCTAAAGTCAAAACTGTCTTTAAGTTCAAATTCGCGACATGTATAATCTTTAAAATGGGTAAAATACTGATTCAATTTTATCCAATATGAATATATCAAACAAACTTCTTCACAAGGCGTTCCAATCTCTATGTGGATTTTAGTCATATCAAATACCTCAACAGTAACTTTCTAATGTAGTCTTCAGAGCCAAAGCATTATGGGTGATTTATTTTACCTCTCAGCATGAAATTGTCTCCTTCAAGAGACTTTGGCTTAGCATTTTTTTTCTTTTTCTTTTTGAGAAACGTAGAATGTTCATTAATCTTGGAAGTTTCCTTTCCTTGTACTACTAGATCATAGTGTAAATGGGATTCCATACCCGTTTGGCCAAGCTGCAAAAATTAGCTTATTTTGAGAAGTGCTTTTCTCAAAAGTACTTTTGGTGAGAAGCAGTTTGTGTTTGGCTAATTAGTTTGAAAAACACTTCTGAGCAGCAATTAGTGTTTGACCAAGCTTAAAAAAACTACTTCTAAGTGTATTTTTCTCAAAAGTGCCTCTCAAAAAAGTACTTTTGGAGAGAAGCTACTTTTTTCTGCTTCTCCTCAAAAACACTTTTTTTTCCTTCCAAAAGCTTGGTCAAACACCTCAATTTTTGGCCAAAAGAAAAAAGCACTTTTGGCCAAAAAGAAGCTTGGCCAAATAGGCTAGTTAACCTTGACAATGAAATGAAAGAATATTTGATCATTTTAACATAGCTCTTCCCTGTGGCCACAGATATAATCAGGCCCACCTGTTTACAGAATATGCTTGAACTTGCAGTCAAGAGGCAAGCCACATTCATGCACTACAAGATTCAGAGCATCATGGTACCTTTAGCAATTTGAATTTGGAAAATGAGATCCTTCATGGATATCACAGAGTATCTATCTACGCTACTAATAGAGAAGGCTTTACGCATTCATAGTGGCAGTTTGGACACCAAAAATGCCTAGAACTTCCTAAATTTTCCTCACATTAAAGAACCAAAAAAGTAGCTAGCAGGCAGAAGTGGAAATTGAGTTGAGAATTCAGACAAGCCAACCATTTCTACAAGAGGAAAAGGGAAAACATTAAAACTAAAGCAGACTAGTTTTGAAAGGCTTACCAGTGCTTACACCACGGTACACAAAATTTGACAAACCATGCAGTGTCCTTCTCATTTATCTAAATGAAATCCAAAAGAACATGTGAGTATGGCTATGGAAACCATTCAAAAAGTTGCACAAAACCACCAACAGCTAACTCAAGACTGCAACTATTATTTGATTCAATGTTGAATACTACTTGATGTAAAAGAAATCAACAGAATATATAAAGAAAACTTAAATATTTAGCTATGTGGCTGATTAAATTAGCTACATGTACTCTATGTCCACCAATGGATAATCACTCTTCCAAACCAGATGAATGGCAACGGGATGAACAGAGATTACAGATTACCCACCACGTGGAAACCACCGATATCATAATCATCAACCAAACCTGAACTGAAAAAGGTTTTCTTTTTCCTATTTCATTTATTTTTCTTTTGAGTTACTAACTCCTGCTGCTGAAATGGTTTAGCCACCCACGTGTTACATAGGCCTTCAGATGCACCAGTTTTTAGATGTGAAAACATGATGATTGAAGGTGTTAACAAGATGAAGAGAGACCTAAAATCACATGGAAAGAAGTAGTCGCAAAAGATTTATAATATCTCAGACTCCAGGTAGATCTAGCAAAAGATAGAAAATAATTGAAGTTGAAAATCCGTAAAGGTGATAGCAACTAGAACACTTGTGCTTACGAGAAGATTCTTAGTATATTATTAGTGATATAATGACTGGAGTATATTAGTGAATCCCTAGTGTTAGATAATTCTTAAGTACGCAATATTGAAATATTATTGAACCAAACAGAGCATTTATGATATTGAGTGTTGAGGATTCATATAGTCAGTACCAACTAGCTTGGGATTGAAGCGTCGTTGTTGTTGTTGTTACCAGCATCTAATCATATTACACAAAGAAAAATCCGTATGAGATTGAGTATTGAGGATTCATACTGCCGGACCCAACTAGCTTGGGATTGAGGCATAGTTGTTGTTGTTTTTGTTGGCTGAGATAGTATGAGACGCAAATGTCCTATGATGCTCCTAGTTCTTTCACGATTTTTTTTCCTTACAATTTAGATCAAATAACCGGTTACCCAATATGGACACATTCAATTTCCTACTTTGGCAAAAATAACCAAAAAATCACACAAACTATAAAAATTAACAATAAACCGAATTAAATTTAGATATCACTACTCAATAACCAATAAAATATCATCTCCATAATAAAACACATACAGTAAAATAAGAACAATAATTACGTGAAAACTCTAATATACATGTTACAGATCGTATAAACCCTAGTAGTTTTCTAGGAGGCAAATCTGATCTCTGATCTAAAAACAAGAAACTAAACAGCTCTATCAGAAGCAACAAAAAAGAAGTTTATTTACCTTGTCATTAAAAGTATCGGCTGTGAGGGTAATGACTTCAGCTCTGGCGATAAATATCGAACTTAACAAAAAGATGCAACACAATAAGATAAAGGCAAATGGGAGCGTACAGCGTTTCATCGTAGCACCAGATTTTGATTCTGAAAATCGAAATTTCAGTATAGCTGAAAATCCTCCAACTTATTGCTTTGAATTTGAAGTAGACTGGGAAGAAGGAAGAATTAAGAGAAGAAATGGGAAAAGTAATAAATAGAAGGATGTTTGGGAGTATTTCCAATATGGAATATTTTAGTTATACTGTTTCTTCTTTGTGGGATTGTTACACAAATATAATATATATATATATATATATATATATATATATATATATATGTATTATATGTGCATAATTGTATAAATTATTGGATAATTTATATATTTTGCCTAAAAAAAAGACAGTAAATTTGACCAACTATTTATGTAAAAGACACCTTTTCTTTTTCTTTTGTGGGTGGACTTAACTTACGGGTTTGTTCCATTAAGTTTTGACTAATGAAAAAGGACAAAATACAAAATTAAGGAGTTCGTCAAGGCTAACTACATTCGCTACCTAGAAAATATATATATTAAATTTATATAATACCCATATATACAAAAGAAAACGTTTTATCAACATTATTGTTCCATTAAGTTTTGACTAATGAAAAAGGACAAAATACAAAATTAAGGAGTCCGTCGAGGCTAACTACATTCACTACCTAGAAAATATATAAAAAATATATATTAAATTTATATAATACCCATATATACAAAAAAACGTTTATCAACTATTATTTTTGGGAACGGCTAATAAGATACATTTCTCAGGTAAAAAGGTACAAAAGCATTTTTCGGTTATTATGGGGTTACATCAAGGATCTGCGCTCAGCCCGTTCTTATTTGCCCTGGTGATGGACGCACTAACACACCATATTAAAGGGGAGGTGTCATGGTATATGTTATTCGCTGACGACATAGTTCTGATTGATAAGACGCGAGACAGTGTATACGACATGCTGGAGGTTTGGAGACATACCCTTGAGCCTAATGGTTTCAAATTGAGCAGGACTAAGACAGAGTATCTTAAATGCAAGTTCAATGTTGAGTCGGGGAAGTGGGCATGGACGTGAGGCTCGATCACAGGTGATCCCCAAGAGAAGTAGCTTTAAGTACCTGGGTCGATTATCCAGGGGACGGAGAGATTGATGAGGATGTTACTCACCGTATAGAGGTGCGGTGGATGAAATGGAGGTTAGTATCAGGAGTTCTATGTGACAAGATAGTGCCACCGTTAATCAAAGGTAAGATCTATAGAGTTGTGGTTAGACTGACCATAATGTATGGGACAAAGTGTTGGCCGGTTAAGAACTTACATATCCAGAAGATGAAAGTGACATAGATGAGGAAGTTAAGGTGGATGTGCAGGCATACTAGATTGGATAAGATTAGGAATAAAGTTGTCCGGGGAGAAAGTGGGTGTGGGTCCCATGGATGACAAGATGCGTAAAGCGAGGCTCAGATAGTTTTGACACGTGCAGAGGAGGAAACCTGATGCTCCGGTGAGGAGGTGAGAGAGTTTGGCCTTGGCGGGGAACGAGAAAAGGTAGATGGTGTCTAAGAAGTATTGGAGACAGGTGATCAGACAGGACATGACATTGCTGCAGATTTTCGAGGACATAGCCCTTGATAGGAAGATGTGGAGGTCGAGCATTAGGGTTATAGGTTAGGACGTAGTCGAGTCTGAGGGTGGCGCGACCCCAATTTCCCTCCACAGGATGTCGTGATAGCACCTAGTCTCTAAGACATATGGAATATAGTTGAAATGACAAATAACTCTCAAATACTCAACAATTTAACATAAACAAACTCAACAACTCAGTATATACAATTTCTCAAAACACGGCGAATACAAGTCACAAGCTCTAAATAGTAGTACTAAATAATCCTATACATCAATGTATATATATAAAAAAGGAAATAAGAATAGTCTAGGTAGAGGAGGACTCTGAGACTTGCGGATACCGACAGGTATACCTTGAAGTCTCCGAAGTTGAGCTCTTCTCGCTAGTACCTGAGCTGAAGTACCTGGATTTCCACAAAAAGAGGTGCAGAAGTGTGGCATGAGTACACAATAACGGTACCCAGTAAGTGCCAATAACTTTAGGATGCATCTTTTTAAATCAATATGGGTGATTAAGTACGTGTATGCTTGTGCAAGTATTCTATCACAACTCAAGTCAACAAGTAAGAGTGGAGACAACAAAGGGCACATAGGAAACAACACAACAAAACGTAAAATGTACCACTCACATAAGGTAGGCACACCACTCCACAATTATCATCAATAATAATGCCCCCAGGCCATCACAAGTCATCACAAATCATCCTCTGACATAACCCACCTTGTCTCGCCACATGCGCAATAATGAAATAAATTCCCACCTTGTCTCGTTGCACGAGCATAATAATATTCCCACCTTGTCTCGCTATATGCGCAAACTCACATATATAACCCTTATTGTCATACCGCATGTGCAAATATCAATAATAATAATAGCACGTACAACTCACATGCGAACATCCTGACAATCCGCTCAACGATACCACGTGTGCTAAAAATATAACAACACAATATAAGGTCTTTCACCATATGTGCCCATCACCATATGTGCCCATATGCCACAAGCTTTCCTAAAAACAATTTCAATACCACAATCACGCATAGCCCTCGGCTCAACAATACCGAGTATAACACAACAACAACAACAACAACAATAATACGAGAGTGCGGCAAGTAAATCAACACAAGAACAATAGAACATAAATAAACGGAAGAACGAACTCACAATAAAAGAAACACAGGTAATAATGGTTTCCACAAGAATAGCTCAACAAAAGGGAGATATACTGTGAAACAATGATTCCACATAAGTATAAGTCAACAATTAGGGGGATAACAATACTTCAGTTAAGGTTAAGCAATTACAGAAGAGATAATAATAACTTCAATTAAGGTTAAGCAATTACGGAAAAGACATCAATAACTTCAATTAAGTTTAAGAAATTACAAAAAAGACAGCATGGCAATAAAAGATGCGACAACTTCAATTAAGGTTAAGCAATTACGGAAAAGACATCAATAACTTCAATTAAGTTTAAGAAATTACAAAAAAGACAGCATGGCAATAAAAGATGCGACAACTTCAATTAAGGTATACAATAGTTTATTGACAACAAGGGTAGAACACGAATTAATCAGCTCCAAATAAGACACGTAGGGGTGAATTTAATGGATGGAGGATTTATCATGATAAGAAAACTTCATTTTTAATGTACATAAGAACCTAAGAGCCAAAAATGGTCAAATTCCCACAAATAAGCCTGAGTACGTACTTGTCACCTCGTGTACATGGCCTTCACGTGACACAATTAGCACAAATGACTCAATTCTAAGTGGCTCCTCAATTGTTGCTCTGACAGGTACCCTAGCTGTGGCACGTGCCCCTTCTCGGCCTCTACTTTGGCCCCAACCTCTCGCGACTCTAGTAGAGGGCACATGTGTCTGCTCAGCTGATCTGATTGCGCGTGTCTTTACCATATGTGAGAGAATAGAGATACAAAGGCTCAATCTTTGAAATCAACAAATTCGCATAATAAGAATGAAAGAAGTGAAATTGTCTTAATAGTTCTGTAGCATCTCGAAGATAAGTACAGACGTCTCTGTACTGATCTACAAGACTCTACTAAACTCGCTTATGACTCGTTGCACCTATGAACCTAGAGCTCTTATTACAACTTATCACGACCCCAATTTTCCCTCTATATGATGTCGTGATGGCACCTAGTCGCTAAGGTTAGGTAACCCTAAAACTTACTAAATTAAATGGCAGAATTTAACCAGAAACAATTATTAAGCATGAAACTAAAATTTTCTATAGTAAACCAAACATCCCGAGTGCAATACAATATCCCAAAACCGATAGTACAAGTCATAAGCTCTACTGAGTTTTCTAGGGAAAACCCCTAAGTACAACTGTTTCGGAATAGAAATAAACAATATAAGTACAAAATCAGAAGGTGACTCCGGGGCGTGCGAACGCGATGTCAAGTATACCTTGAGTCTCTATAGTAGAGCCCGAACATCTAACTATAATCAACCAGCTCTAAAGTACCTGGATTTGCACAAGAAAATGTGCATAAAGCGTAGCATGAGTACACCACAGCTGTACCCAGTAAGTGTCAAGACTAACCTCGGTGGAGTAATAATGAAGAACAATCAAGACACCTACTAAACATAATAAATTATACAAGTATAAATGTGAAACTAACATGGAACAATATCATTATAAAACTAAGCATGATAACAATAATAAAAAAATGCTTGTAATAGGAAACTAAAAGCAACAATTAGCAACAAGATACAACAGGTAATAATGCCGTGGAATAAGCTGAATACAGTTTAAGTCTGATGAAACCAAGTAAGGAAAACAATTAACCACTCAATAAGAGCAACCACTTTCACACAAGATTTGTTTAAGAAATTCACCAAAGTACTTTATCTCATAGTCACAATTCATGGGTCCTAGTTCATGAACCCTAATCACTTGGAATTTTGTGCCCACATTACAGTTTATAACCGCACGAATGACTCACGTGCTGCACGGATAACTCACGTGCCAATACCATTGATACCTCATATATGTACAGACAACTCATGTGCTCAGGGAGTGACAACTTCTCATATACGCACGGACTACTCATGTGCCAATATAACAACTTTCACACAGAAAGCAAGTAAACGGGAGTACATGTAAATGGTCAATAATTGTAGGATTCATCTTCTTAAAGCGATATGGGTGATTAGGTATGTGTATGCTTGTGCAAGTGTTCTATCACAACTCAAGTCAACAAGTAAGAGTGGAGAAAATGAAGGGCACATATGAAACAACACAACAAAACGTAAAATGTACAAGTCACACAAGGTAGGCACAACGCTCCACAATTATCATCAATAACATTGCCCCCAGATCATCACAAATCATCCCCGACATAGCCAACTTTGTCTCGACACGTGTGCATCAATGAAGTAAATGCCCGTCGTGTCTCACCGCACGCGCATAATAATATTCCCACCTTGTCTCGCCACATATGCAAACCCGCATATGTAGCCCGCCTTGTTACACCGCATGTGCAAGTATCAATAATAACAATAGCATGGACAACTCACGTGTGAACACCCCGTCAATCCTCTCAATAATACCACGTGTGCTAAAAACTTAACAACACAAAATA